CCTCGGCCGCGCCGAAGGCGAGGCAGTAGTGGTGCCAGGCGCCCTCGCCCGCGACCACGGCGACGTGAGTCCGCGTGTCACCCCGGAACCAGGTCTCGAACGCGTCCCCCGTGAAGCCCAGGCCGAAGGCCGACCCGGTGGGGCCGTCGTCGTCGCCGCCGTAGGACGCGAGGGCGCCGCCGCCGCGCCGGAGCGCCCAGAGGCACAGCGTCCGCGGCGCGGAGCCGAGGACGCCGCTCGTGACCTCCGCGGGAAACTCGACGTGGCCGCCGGACAGGTCGACGGCGCCGCCGCCGTCGACGCCGACGGCGAGCGCGTGCTCGCCGACGATCGTCCCCGCGAGCGCGGGCTCCCCCGACGCCTCGGGAACGCTCGCGCCCGCGACCGCGTCGAACGAGTAGCGAACGCCCGCCGCCAGCAGCGCCGTCGTCGGGGCCGTCGTCGGCGCGGCCGTCGGCGCGGCCGTCGGCGCGATCGTGGGCGCGGGCGTCGGCGACGTCGAGGGCGCGGCTGTCGGCGCGATCGTCGGCGCGATCGTGGGCGCGGAGGACGGAGCCGCGGACGGGGGCATCACAGCCGTCGTCGACTCGTAGAGCGCGCGGACGCGTGCCGGTCCGAGGGCCACTTCGTGGAGCTCGAAGCCGTCGACGACGCCGTCGAATTCGTAGCCGGCCTTGGTCCAGGCCCCGACGCGGAGCGGCTCGTCGTCCAGCGTAACGAGGGGCTCGGCGGGCGCGTGCGCGCCGGCGACGTCGCCGTCGAAGTAGAGCGTGGCGCCCTCGGCCGCGCCGAAGGCGAGGCAGTAGTGGTGCCAGGCGCCCTCGCCCGCGACCACGGCGACGTGAGTCCGCGTGTCACCCCGGAACCAGGTCTCGAACGCGTCCCCCGTGAAGCCCAGACCGAAGGCCGACCCGGTGGGGCCGTCGTCGTCGCCGCCGTAGGACGCGAGGGCGCCGCCGCCGCGCCGGAGCGCCCAGAGGCACAGCGTCCGCGGCGCGGAGCCGAGGACGCCGCTCGTGACCTCCGCGGGAAACTCGACGTGGCCGCCGGACAGGTCGACGGCGCCGCCGCCGTCGACGCCGACGGCGAGCGCGTGCTCGCCGACGATCGTCCCCGCGAGCGCGGGCTCCCCCGACGCCTCGGGAACGCTCGCGCCCGCGACCGCGTCGAACGAGTAGCGAACGCCCGCCGCCAGCAGCGCCGTCGTCGGGGCCGTCGTCGGCGCGGCCGTCGGCGCGGCCGTCGACCCGGCGTCGTAGAGGACCTGGATCGACGCCTCGTCGAGCGCGCTCGCGTAGACGTAGACCTCGTCGATGGAGCCGTCGAGGTAGTAATCACTGTCAAACCGCCCAATTTGGAGCGGGCGGTCCGAGCCCGTATCGAGCGCGGCGGTCGCCGTCGCCGCCTGCGACCCGTCGAAGTAGAGGACCCAACCGGATCCGTCGTAGGTCAGGCAGTAGTGGTGCCAGCCGCCGTCGTCGGACCCCGACAGCGCCACTCCCGTGTCGCCGCCCCAGAGCTCGACATAGAGACTCGCGCTCGTGCCGTGCACTCGAAGTGCGAA